GAGAGAGAAAGAGAGAGAGAGAGAGAGAGAGAGAGAGGGAGGGAGACATAGGTGGGAGGGAGAGATGCAGTACCGCTGTGGCATGACCGATAACTAATGCCTTAGCATGATTAATAGACCATTCACCAGATGCCAGGGGCAAGTACGGCTTGTTAACCTGTAGTAGACACAACGTTTTTTTTTTTTTTTTTTACAGAAAAGAAAAAACAGCATCAGCACCTGAAACCCTGCCGCAGCTCTACAAACAGAATCAGCCAGTTATTTCCCTGACCTCAACAAGGTCAGCAGAGGTACCTCTGCTGACCATTGATAATAACGTTTTTTAAATTTCTGACTTCGCATTACATCAGTTCTTGTCACCTTTTTTATATGTCCCTGAAACTTTGAGGCATAACAAACAAGGTAAGCAGCATGAAAACAAAACCCAAAACAAAACCGAAAAAAAAGGTCAGCACTGACTCAACAGCATGCAACATTTAAAATTTTCATTTTTTTTATATGTCTGAGTCAAAAGTTTCAGGGAGAAATTTTGGAAAACTAATAAATGTGACAGTCACCTACCTACCTTACCCAGGGGCCAAGGCTCAATAAATCTGTAATGATTCTGTATTTTTAACTATTTTACTATTTTTAAATAATTTTTTACTATTTTACTATTTTTAAATAATTTTTTACTATTTTACTATTTTTAAATAATTTTTTACTATTTTATAATTTGATAACTTTTACTATTTTGGCACTGGAACCAGTCCATCCTTGACCAAAAAATGTCTTTTTTGAATTTATATTATTATGTTTGTTGAAACATGTCCTTCTGGTCCTGGCTCTGATGTGGAGCCGAAAGCTGACTGGAAGTGCCGCATATGTTATCAGCCACTCTTCTGATCATAATGGGCCTTAAGGATCGTGATTTTTGTTTTTTTCATGGCATGGCCGTTATTTGATCTGCCTGCCTCTGAAGAGTCTGAACCAATCAGTCTCTTCCATCTTCGTGTAATTGCTTGCATAGGTTCTTTGATTTTCAGCAGAAGTTTGTACCCTATCTTGACTTAGAATTCGTCTATGGGTGAGAGCTTCTTTTTCTTGCTAACTTCTTTGGGCTGCCAGGCCCATTCTATTGAATCGAATTCCCTTCCCCTCTCCTCGCGCGCCCCCCCCCCCCCCCCCCCCCCCCCCCCCCCCCCCCCC